TGTCCCGTTGCATCCATTCCAGAAAATCGTGAAGTTCATCATTAACGCGGTACGCCAGTAGGAAAGGGAATCACAAAGTATCATTGAGTAATTAAACACTACTGAAGCATTAAAAATTGACAGACAATATCGCTTAGGCCTTTAAAATATTCGAATCTCAAATGCAAAGGTGGTCGTACGGTTCCCCGAATTTCGAGACGCACGATTTGTCCCCAAAACGTGCCATTCGAGGGCAAAAATGGTTTTTCGTGGTCCTTTGTTTTGTGTACTATACTTTTTGTTCCTTTCTTTTCTCTCTCGAACGATCGATAGGGAACGAACAAGAAGGCGCGCAGTGACACGGGGAATGCGAGTCCATCGTCGCCGATGCTCTTCTAAAGCGATTATCTACCCAGGGAGATCTTCGACGGTTTACTGTAACGAAAAATAATATTTTCTTTTTGTAATTGCACTTCGATCATTGCCCTCGATATCCCGCGCGTCACTGCGCAGAGGCGTTCGAAGAATCGAGCCTTGGTTCTCGCGTAGTATCGCTGCCGACGATGCTCTAATTGCGCGCGGTCCCCGTTCGCTTTCCGATTAACGATTATCGGAATCGTGGAAACCGCTCGTCAGCTGAGACCTCCGGAGAGAGTTCTGCGGGGGAAATTGCGATGGAAACGGAGCGGAATTCGGTTCGGAACTGTCTAAATATGCACTTTACTCTCTCGCGACCGTGTTTCTTGGATTGATCGGCCGCCAAGATGGCTGCTAATTTTAGCCCTTTCGTGAAATGTCTTCTTATTTTTAGAAGCTCGTACAAATCACGAATTTCGTGTTCGTTAATTGCTTCACTCGTTCACACTGATCATATCTGCTCGTGTTATTCAATTTTAACAACTACTTTTGATGACCCGAGGGAAACTGGGAATTCTTATTGTATATCGAGTGTCGTGTTTTTTTAGGCCCGTGTATGTTTTAAATGCATAAGTATAGATTGAGGTAAATTTATTGTAATCGTGTCTAAAAAATTGACGATAATATATTTTGAATTAGAGAATTATTTTTGAAATTTAATAATCTGTCCGTTCGTCGAAAGCAATAGTGCATAAATTTGTAAATATTTTATAATTCAGGTATCACTGATATGCACTTTTATAATATTCACAATAGCACCATGTAATGTTTTTAATTATAGTTTTCGGTATACTTATTATGTATGATTTTTCATATAAATTAAATATACTTATTAATCGATATGTAAATAAAAGGCAAATGTATACAAGTTTTTCAATTCAAACATGTTTGCCGTGTGTTTAATCCGTTACGGCCTTCATGCTAAGACTTTGTAATTTTTATAATTGAATTTCCTGGTACGTATTCATCTTTCGTAGTCTTCGCAAGAACACTTTATAATTTCATTATTAGTCACTGCTCATGAGGCAGGGATTACTAAGTGTAATCCACAATTCTTGACGGTTTTCTTACACCAAAACTAATATCTTGACTTCAACTAAAACAGCTCGATGATTCTCACCAATAAAAAGATTTCAAAAAATTACCGATGTTTATGAATTCATCTTGTTCAATTTAATAATTCCCTTTCGAAGAACTTGTACATGAAACCCTGCTTCTTTACACGATGATACGTAATTTTTATGCACGTTCAAGGAAATACACTACATTAAATCAAACTAAATTGAAAACAATCAACTAAAATACTTGCAATATAACTAGAAAATTAAAAATCAGTAGTGTTCCTGGTAAAATGCACTTTCCCAATAGATTTCAGATCTTCCATCTACCAATAGACAGACCGAGTTTTCAGTAATCTGTAATAATTAATACTAATCAATTAATAAATCCCTCCTTATTTACACAACTAGTCCGAGTCGTAACACAATCTCAATAATCAAAGAACCAGACAGAACATCACGTTGCGTCTCGGCTAACTTCACAGACCACAAACGAACACGAGACACTCCGTTCCCCGACAGATTCCCCGCAAGCAACCTTATCTAAAATTCAATTCGCATATCAATATTCGTATAAACATTCTCTAGCTACGCGTGATAATCATATAGTACACAATCATGCGGTTCAGTCGGTGTGGGCGTACTACGCGAAATCGAAAGCCCGTCGCTCTGCGAGACGCGGTCGCGCACGTACCGATTTCCAGGTTTGCGTTGGGGACTTTTCAGTATGCGTGTCGCGTTCATCGTCATTTCCTTATATACAACGTACAATCGACCGAACCGTGCCAAGGTGCGGACTCGGAGCTTAGAAAACAACGGAACACGGTATTACAATTTGAGCTGCCGCGTGATACACACTCAATGTACACAGCGTTCAACGGCACACGACCCGCTAATTAGAATTACTCTGATCCGATGTTGGTTTCATCTCTTTTTCTTGCTTTCGTTATTTTCTGTTATTTCTCGTTTATGACGTATTCGAGGAGACAGACAACGGGGGAAGAGAGAGAGAGAAGTAGAAGAAAAGAAGAAAAAGATGAAAAAGGAGAAGAAAAAAAGAGGAAGAAGGAGGTTTCGCGATTCAGGATTTTCATGCAAAATCCTCGAAGCATTTCTACGCTATATCACATCCTATGTCTGAGCACGTGTTCCTTAGTTTCTCCTCGCCGGTTGGTATCGCGTTTAATCTATCCCGTTAGGGGACACCGTTTCGGCTAGCTTAACGTGTAATAAAAACGGTGCCCCGTTCTCGAACGGCTAAGGAACGGAAACCGAAAGCACGGTGAACATTCTTAAGAGGTAGAGAAACAACAGTGACTCGGTGTACTCGGCGGGTGTTGCTTAAAAATTAATTCGGTCGCATCGAGCGCAATATACGGCTCCGTACGTTTTGTTTCCCTTTTCGTTTTCTCTCGCCTGGCCTCGAGAATCGATCGTTCGACGATCATTCGAAATTCTTTTCTCCCAACAGCATGACATTTTCTCTTTGTTTCTTTTCGTTCGCATTCTTTGTTTTCGTCTTTCCTCTCTCGCAGTTTTTCCGCGAAGAAACGTGTCCGCGAGCGTGCAATCGATCGATCCGTGGACACACAAGTACTTCGTCTCCGTTCGACGCGATCGTACAAAAGAAATGTTTCTCCGTCGCTCAACGGACGCTACGCGACGATTGACCCGACTCGAAACTACCGTTTGATCGCGGTACAGGGTGCCGGTAGACTTTCCAGGATATTTTCGCCGGATACGAGATCAACGTTCGATCTAAGGGTGGCTGTTGACGCGTCTTCGTCGGCGAGATTCGCGGTGAACGAGAACTTCCGTCCGATCGAACAAAGTTCGACGCGGCCCCATACATGTACCACTCGCGAAAGCGTTAACATCTCCCGTTTCCTTCTCGGTTAACGATCTAGCAATATACACGGTGTGCCGCGAAGCAAGCTACGCGTCTTACAAATATACAGAGTTTACACCCTTAATCGTAACTACCTAGGTTGGCTGTTATGCAACAAGAAGCGCGCACACGGCGCAACGTGTGCTACATTTTGCTCTCGTGTTATGTGCAGGTAATGTTCAACAATTATATTATCTTCGAAGGCATCATCGCTGTTAATCCAATTTTCTCGGACCATGCAAGGGAAGGAGAGAAAGAAGAGAGAGAGAGAGAGAGAGAGGAGAAAGAAAAAAGAAAGACAGGGAGATAGAAAGAGAGAAAGAAATAGAGTAAACAAAAATTCAAAGAGTAATACATAGCGATCACGCGGAACAATTTGTTATTGCAAACGTTCTATCGTCCAGGAAAGGAAAACAGCGAATACATCGAATTAGTGTTCATTCTCAACCCTGAACAGTCTACCGATCTACTTGGCGCAACTTAAACAAGAGTTATCAATCGAATAAATCGTGGGTTAGAAGAGCGTAGAGGGGAACAAGAGATATATGCCAATATCATAGAAAAGTATTGGACAGGCTTATGGGTCTATTTACTTGATCTTGAATGCGTCCATCATCTCGTTCACAGCGGCATTAGCAGCGGCGTGCGTCGCAGCTTGCGCAATCCTCTGTTGTAGACCACCCCCACGACTAAACATACACCACGGACACTCTCATTTTACCGCCTGTGTGATTTCGCTGTGCCTTATGGATAATATGGCTACACGGTTCCCCGTGTTTGGATAGCTACCGCGGTTCGTTTCGCGCGAATCGCGATGACATCGAATTCCGCGCCACGGTGCACAGTATATACGGTTCTAAGTCGACTAGATCCGAGAGTTTCTCTCTTTCTAGAAATTATTCATAGCCACGTTTCATTGTCGTCTGGCTGTTTTCACCAGCGACGTAACAATTTTAAGAACGTCAAGCATCGATGATCGAGTTCCATTGGTAATAGGATCGTTAACGTTTCTCAAAAAGTTCTCTGAACGTTCTCTTTCGTAATATCGTTTAGGCGCGAATGAAAAGTATTCGATGCGAATCGAAAACACGGTGGATACATTATTCATTTAAAAAAATTCGAAAGTTGGAAGTGAGACGTTCAGTTTCT